TAAAAAGAAAAGAGAGAAACACACACAGAGAGAGAGAGAGAGAGAGAGAGAGAGAGAGAGAGAGAGAGAGAGAGAGAGAGAGAGAGAGAGAGAACGAGCGTTCAGAAATCGTGGTAACCTTTGTTTATTGGCATCCTCTTCGTCGTGGAGTAATCCACGTTCGAAATTCGGTCCAGGGGTGTACTTGTATGGTGTGCTGCCTACGGATAAATCAAGACGCCGTGCGGCTACCGCTGACTTGCCTCCTTTCTCTTTGTCTCAGGTGTTGGAGATGGAGTCGTGGAAGCGGTCGCGAGCGGTGGTCATGTCCCAGACGCAGGAGTCGGAGTGGGCGCATCGACACAAGCAGGCCACGCTGATGCCGCAGCTCTTATCCCTGAACATGGTCCTGGAGGGGGACAAGGCGTTTCGCCACCGGAGGCTGAAGGTACACTAGGTTTAGATCCCATCCCGCCCGTTTGACTCGCCTAGCCATGTTGGTGTGCCACCCAGAAGTCTGCGCATGTTTTCCCACGCAAGCAAACATGCTGGAAAATGTATAGATTCGGCTTGGTTGAGGTTGGGGTTGGGGTTAGGGTCTGCGTTCGCCCTGCCTGGTTCTCTTTCGTAATAGCCTACTTTCTTTGCGCAGGCAGTCCGTGCACCCGCACTCTCTTGGGCGATAAAAGTTGAGGTTTTATCGGCTATGTTGGTGCGGATTGCTTCCGGAAGCTTTAGGGCGTTGAATGCTTTTTTTTTTTTTTTTGTTTTGGGAACCTGTCCGCGGTGCAACTTCTGATGAGGACAACACTCGTCTAAGAGGAAACTTGCCACAGCAGTTATCCTTTCCGGCATGAGCCCCGTTAGTCTAGGGCTGACATCTGAGTTGCGCGCTGCACCGGTTTTCAGCGTGTAAGAGTATTCCCCAACAACAACGCCCATTTGCCTTTCTCCTGCCCCTCCTCCTCCTCCACCTCCTCCTCTGTCCTCATCCCATCACTGTCTGGCATCTCCCTACACGTACACGCGCCGAAAAAACACCACGGGTAACAAACGCGGGCAATCGCCATCGACACCAGGCGAGGTCGGGGCCACCCCACCGGCGGAGCCCGTCGCCCGACCCATGCCCGCCGCCGCAGACGGCGCCGCCGCCGGCGTCGACGACGGTAGCGGGGGGTCCCGCGGCGGGAGCGACTCCAAGGGTGGGGCTGAGGTACAGGGCGTCGGCGTCGGTTCGACCGACGAACCCCCCGTCTCGGAGAATGCCGACGCCGCCGAAGCAGCGGGGGCGGTCGTGTTAACGTCTGCGCCTCAAGAAGCCTTAGCTCCCGCCGCTTCCGCCGAGGGTGGGCCTTCCGCGGCGGTGCCGGAAGGCCTCCGAAGCGGCGCGCGCCGGCGGCGGTAGCCAACCCGGAAGCGAGAGCGACAGCGGCGGCGTGAACGATGACGACGGTGTCGCGGCGGCAGCGGCGGCGGCGGGCACGAAACGTAAGCCTCTCGACGAGGAAGAGGAGGATAAGGGGGATGCAGGGGGCGCCGTGGACAGGACTAGCGACGAAGTCGAGGGGGGAGGACAAGAGACGTCGCAGGCGGATTTATCTATCCCGTCGACGCCGCTAGAGGCCGAACGCGAGGCGTCCCCGCCCCCAACTCTCGGGGAAGAAGAGGGTGGGGTTGGAGGAGGAGGAGGAGGAGAGGGGCAACTCCCGGCAGGCTCGGGGGCAGGACAGCCCGGGGCGGCCGCCGGAGGCGGCGGCCGTGGCGGCAGCGGCTGATGACGCGGCCGCGCAGGGAGAGGAGGACCCGGCGGGACCGCCGCCGGAGGAGGGTAACGGCTCGGGACAGCAGAGCGACGGCACCGACGGAGTAGGGCCGGAGGAGGGGGCACGCACACTGGATCAAGGAGAGAGGGAGGAAGACGAGGCCGGCGGCGGCGCCAGCAGCAGCACCGGCGACGAGTCTGCCGCCGTAGTCGGAGAGAGCGGGGGTTCCGCCGAATCATCTGTCCCCGTCGTGGAGGAGGGTGGCGGCGGCGGCGGCGGCGGCACCGAGCAGGAAGACGGCAGCAGCAGCAGCCCGGCGGAAGGGCCGGCCGGTAGCGCGGAGGGCGTCCCGCCCGACTCGAGCGATCTCGAGGTCGAGGCGGCGGCAGTGGTGGTTGCGACAGGGGACGGCGAGGAGGAGGAGAAGGAGGAGGGAGAGGCGGCTGCGGACGCAGGCGAGGAAGGGCTTTCTGAGACCGGCGGGGGTTCCGCGGATGATGTTGTGGCGACGACCCCCCCATCCGGGGAGGAAAACACGGCTGCTGCTGATGCCGCCGCTTTGGATGGCGAGAGCGGTGAACTTCAAGCCGAAGAGCCTATCGAGGGAGAGCCATCGTCACCGTCCACGGTTCCTACTTCGGTGGTAGGTGGAGAAGACCCGACCGCTGCTGCCGCTGCAACGGCAACGACCGGCAAGCCGACGGAGGGAGAAGAAGAGTATCCCGAGCCTGAGGCGGGCGCAGACGCCACAGGAGCAGAAGCGGCCGCCCCATCCGATGACGATACCGCGGTAGAAGCAGCAGCAGCGGTCGACATCGAACACCCTGGTTCCTGCCCCGTGGCTCCTTTGGACAAGAAGACGACCGTCGCTGCCGCCGGCGCCGCCGGCGCCGGCACCGATGCCCAAGAAGAGCCACCTGCCGGATGCGGCGGTGGCGCCGTGGTGTCCTCAGTGCCGCCGACCCTACAAGCTTCGGCGGAAGAGTTCGTGGAGGAGGAGGAGGAGGAGGAGGAGGAGGAGGAGGAGGAGGTGTACGACGCCGCCGTCGGAAAAGCCAAGCAGGAGAAGGAGGAGGACGAAACCATTGTAGCAGCAAACGAGAAGGAGGAGGAGGAGGAGGAGGAGGAGGAGGAAGAGGAGGTGGTGGTAGTGGCGAACGACGCCGTCGGTAGAGCACAGCAGGAAGTTGAGAAGGAGGCGGAGGCGGACGACACGATCATGGCAGCAAAGGAGAAGGAAGAGGACGACGCCGACGCCGCCGTGGTCGGAGAGGCAAACCAGCAGGAGGAGAAAGAGGGTGACGACACCATCGTAGCTGCAGAGGAGAAGGAAGAGGAAGCGGCCGCCGCCGCCGCCGCCGCCGCCGTCGGAGAAGAAGAAGCAGCCGCGGCGGCGGCCCAGGCGTCCGCGGCCGTTGCCGGCGAGGCCCTCGGCATCGCCGCGCGCTCAGGCTTCCTGCCCCCCGACGGCGACGACGACACTCAACTCCCCGCCGCCGCCGTTGCCGCGGTGTCGCAGGAGGCGTGCCGGGCCTTCCGCCGCGGGCGCACCTTCCACGTCAAGGTCACCGCCGGTACGCCGCAGCACGTGTGGTCGCCCCCGTCCCCACCCCCTCCCCGCGTCGGCGGAAGGGACCGCGCCTGGGGGGCGGCGGAGGCGAGCGGTGACGGTGGCCGGATGGGTCCCGCTACCGCCACGAGCAATGCTCTCGCCGAGAGCCGGGTGTCGCCCTTGCGCGTCTCCCACATCACCTGGGACAGGTCAGAGGGTTGGACTGCGTTTCTTTGAGGGATGGGAGAGATGGGATGCGATTTTCTGGCTTGGGTTGTGGTGTACGTGTGTGTGTGAGGTCGATCGTTTGCTTGGTTTGGTTTTGTTCCTTGCCGCTGGCTTAGGTTTTCTCCGTCCGTGTGGCGTTAGCAAGGCCGCAGGAGGCATACAGGGGTGCTTGTTCGTTTTGTTTGATGTGCTGAAGTCTCGGCCTAGCTCGTTCGGGCCTCGTGCTCCTGCGTACAGGACGAAGAGGTAACGAAAGCTTCACCACGCTGACAGCCAGGAAGAACGGTAGAGGCAATGGGCGGGGTGGTGATCTTCATTTTTCCGACGCGCGACATAGCAGCCGATGTCTTGCTCTCGGCCCTCACAAACTGTCTTACCATCTTTGCACGAAAAGTCATCGTGTATGTATTTGCGCCGCTCGCCTTCCGTGTCCATGCTGGAGACCCCGCGTCGCCCTTGTTTATTTCACCAAGACACCCACCCGTGTCAAGCCTACACCTCTCGTGAACTCCCCCCGTTCGTCCTCTCGATTGGACGCGTGGTCAATGGCCTACCAAATAGGGCATGCAGCACACATGAGTACACCCCGCCCCCGTCCCTCTCCTCCTCAAACATTAATCTCCTAGTTCTTATTATTCTTCATTTTCTCCTTGTTCTTACTTTTTTTTTTGGTCGTGGTCGTTCTGGTCGGGTTTTGTTTCGCCGCAGGAACGACGAGGACCTCGGAGACGACTTCGCGCTCGACCTCCCGCTGGACCTGGAGACCCTTACCTTCGCCTTCGCCTTCAACCGCCTTCCCGCCGACGGCGTCGAAATCGACTGGCCCCCCGACCTCAAGGCCGTGCACTTCGGGATGGCCTTCAACCCCCGCCCCGCCGCCGCCGCCATTGCCGCCGCCGGACGCCCTTCTTCTCCCCGTCCTTCTAGCGGCGGCGATAAGGCGGCGATGGTCGTGCCCGCTAAGAGGTCGGGGCCGCCGCCGCCTGGAGCGGGGGCGGCGGAGTGGGCCGTTTTCTTGCCGCCGTCACTGGAAGAGGTGGTGTTCGGTGGGCATTTCAATCAGCCTGTGGTGAGACAAGCGGGGGTGCGGGACGTTGGTTGGCGGCGGTCGCCGTGGGGGTGTGCTCATAGCCTTGCATGCCGTAGTCGTTAGGCCATTGACCTCGGGGGGCGAGGTTAAGCTGGACACAGAGGCGGAAGAGGGTATTGGTAGATTGGAAGAGTGGGCAAATTTTGAGTTGATTCCCTTCCAGGTTCTCGAGTGTATGCAAATTTGATGTTGCAGCTAGGTCGTGCTTGCGTTGCAGCAGGTCCTTCCTGCCTGCATTTCCGTAAGGTTTGGCATATCGATTGATGGGAGTTCGTTGTCCTCCCACCATCCAGCTGCGGCACGAAAGGCACACGTGAATCCACAAACACCATGTGAATGCTACAACATCACCGTGCCTTCATATTGTTCTGTGTTTTGTTTATCTCTCACCTCTCTTGTTAATTGTTTTGTTGTTCCGATGCGTGTCGGCTTCGTTCAAGGCTATGTATCGGCGCTGATGTTGTTTTGGTCGACACCTCTGTTGCCTTATCTGTCTCCGACCCGTCCATGCGCTTTGCCTGCCCCCCCCTCTCCGCGAGAGAGCAGGAAGGCGTTGCGTGGCCTCCAGGGCTCAGACGCCTCGTCTTCGGAGCGAACTTCAAGCAGAAGGTCGAGGAAGCCGACTGGCCGGACAGCTTGGAGGAGATGACCTTTGGATCCTACTTCAACAACCCGATCGAGCGCGTGAAGTGGTGCGTGGTAGAAATAACGTTCAGCAAGCATCTTGTTATGTTTCGGATAGCGGTTGAGTTTTTCCTGACATGTGTGATGTTGCGACACGCGCTATTATAGTGATGGCCGAGATTTTCTTGACATCTGCAGTGCGGCACGAGCTACGCCCAGGGTCCGGTAATAGCAGGTTCTCTCGAAGTGCGTTGTGGGGTCCTGTCCCAAAAAAACATAGGAAAAAGCGGCCCGGCGATGCATGTTCCGGTTCGGGCGTGCGGGAGAATACCGTCGGTTCTCCCTTCGGTGAGCATGAACGAAAGAATTACACACACACACATTCGGGTCAGAGGCGCTTGGCCTTGGACGAAAACAGGGGCTCACGTATCGACCTCCGCCCCGTCGTGCCGCTGGGCAGTTGCAACAGCCAAGAACAGTAGGTCGTCCTCGATTGGTGTGTGCATCGCCTTTGCAAGCGTAACCAGCAGTATCATCGCTAAAAACCCGAGCACGAAACCAAACACGGAGCGGGAGAGGGCAAGCAGCACACGATAACCCTATGGCCCCCTCGAAATACGCTGTTACAGATCGTTGTTGCCGCGGCACACCCAAAGGGCGAGGATGCTGATCAGATTCTGTTTTTTTTTCCTTGTGAAACGTAGCCTGGGCCGGTGCGAACACGGGCATATCGCTCCTTCCCGGCATTGAAGGGATGCGAGATCAATGGTCTAACGACTACGACATGCATTTTCATGAGTACATCAACTGCCCCCCCCTCCTCTCACACGTCAGGCCAAAATCTCTAAGAAAACTCGTGTTCGGGACGGGTTTCAACCAGCCGGTCGAGAATTGCAGGTGAATTAATTTTTTATTTCCACAAAGCAAAGGGCAAAGTTGTTTGGCTTGTGGTGGCTGTTGGTGTTCCTCGGAGTCTAGACCGTTTGGGTTGGAGGTTCGGCTTTCGACGCGGGAATTGGGCGCACCTTTACGAGGCGTAACTGCTGCGTTTGCTCGGCCCCTCATGTGCTCCTGTCTCACCACTGTAGCACGACTGTCTACCTTGTCGATTCCTCCGCGGCTCTTCCCGACGGGGCAATGGGAGTTTGCGTTTTTGTTGAGGTGGCGTAAAGCGACAGTCTCCTTCCGGATGCACGTCACGGGCATGGACTGCCTGTAGCGATCGCCCTCTTGGCTCATGCCGCATGATGCGGCATGGTGACATTTGCATGACACTATCCTGAACTACTGCCTTGTGATGATGACAGTCGACGTCGTCCCCGTTTTGGGGATGGTACGCCTCATTGCCTAACACAACCAGTGGGGTGGTCACTGACGATGAATATGAAGCACCGCCCCACCACTTTGCATGCCCTCACGTTTGCCTTTCCCCCCGTGTACCTGTTCCCCGTTAAAACCACTACCACAAAATAAAAACGGAAACCGAAAAAACGAAAAAAAAAGTTTCTCCGGCTCTCTCGAGGAGATCGTTTTCGGTACCCACTTCAACCAGCCGGTAGCTGGTCTGAGGTGGCCCTCCTCGCTGCAGCGCGCGACGTTCGGGGACCGCTTCAACAAGCCGATCGTGTCCTCGCCGTGGCCGACTCCCTCCCTCACGCACCTCACCTTCGGCAAAGGCTTCGATCAGCCCTTGCCGCAAGCGGCGGACGGCGGGTGGCCCCCCGCCGGGCTAAAGTCTGTCGTCGTCGGGTCCAAGTTCTCCGGAGATGCGGCGGAATCATCATCAGCAGCAGCAACATCCGAGGGGACCGGGGACGAGGGAGGAGGAGAAGGGTTTTCCATCACGAGGAGGCTTTCGCCTCGGCGGGCGCGGCGTAGAGGAAGCAAGATCGACACCGGTAGTACAGCTGCTGCTGAAGCTGCTGCTGCCGCCGCCGGTGGTGGTATCTCCTCCGTCTCCGCCACCCCGCCCCCGCGAGTGATGTCTGCATCGGCGGCAAAGAAGCAACGGGAAACGCAGGTTAACCAGGCACCCCCCGGCTGATATTTTCGTTGGCGTGGGGAGCAGATGGATACAAGTAGCCCCGTCCGGTTTTTAGGTTGCTCGATGCGCAGAGGGCTGCTGCTCGTGACGCTTGGACTACATCGGCATTCCCCCGTGCTCGGCGAGGCGTACTCATGTTTTGCATGCCTTAGCCGTTTGACCATTGGCCACGGTTGGAAGACGGTGTGTGTGTGTGGGGGGGGTGAACTCATGGTCGTGCATGCCGCAGTCGTGAGACCATTGACTTCGCATCCCTACGAAGCCGAGACGGAGCACGCCGGGTTCTCACCGGACCAGGCTCTCACATCATCAAGCGCGAAGCGCCGTGCGGTATTCGGCGAGTCGCATGAAGGGTGCAGGGGGGAGGGCGCAAACGTACCATCGCTCGTACGCCCCATTTTTTTTGTTCCTGCGGCCGCTTTAGTGCTGTTGGGTGATCGCTGGATATGTGTGTGTGTGTGTCTGTGCGTGTTTTCTTACAAGAACACAAGGCATTCGTCTCTTCTACGGATAGGAGTGTGGTTGTTTGTTTCTTTTGGTTAGTACTTTGCATGCGCGGCGTTCAGCGGGAGAAGTCGGTGCTGATGTTTCTCCTTTGTTGATCGCGTGGCCTTCTTTTCGGCGTCCACTTTCCGCACACTGCCGTTGATATGTATACGTTTGCGGCACCGGAAAAGCGCACGCTCAGGTGGACTGTCGTGCACGCTTACGGCCGGTATGCAGGGCATGCAGTCTGTCGTATACGTTTACGGTCGGTATTAAGGGGAAGCAGAGGACAGTGTTGTTTCTTTTTCTACTTGTCCTGTTGCATTGGGTGTATGGTCTATATGTCGTGTGTGGCCCCTTGCATGTTTCCCACCTCGACGTGCGGGGCCGGTGTCGTTGGTATTCACCATCACCGCCATCATGTCCGTCTTGTGTCGGCGTGTGGTGCTCTCTTTGCTATTCACTACCACCGCCGTCACCCCCGGCTTGAGGTTGGTGCGTAGTGGTCTCTTGTCCTTTGGTTGCTTCAACCTGTAACACGGCTGGCCTGGCCAAGAAGTTTGAGGCGCCGAGGCGACCAACCCTAGAAACGAAAATCAAGTTTGGGCGAGACAGAAAATTCTTCGATTCCCACGCGTGGTCGCCTTTTTTTTTTCTATCGAATTCGCAGCGGCGTTTGGCTGTTTTCCTGCTCTGTGCTCGGAGACTAGAACATGGCACATTCCTAGTTTGATTTTTTCTGGATGGGAGCGTTATTATGGGTTCCTCTTTATTGCGGCGAAACGTCATCTTCGTTCTGGATTTATATGTATGCGTGGTCTCCAGCAAGTCTTTCTGTGTTTGAATTTATGTTTCCTGATCATCTTTTTGGTCTCGTTGATTGTGTGCTCTTTGTGGCAACACATTTCTCCGGTCGCTTGCACGTCGTGTGTGGAAGCGAACGAGGCCACACCAGTAGTGGGACCCGAACATCATGCTCATGCTTGGGTTGTCCCGTTTCGCCGCTGGGTGGTCATCAGTGCTTTGGCTGTTCTGATACAGACAGGCAGACATCGAGGGAGAGAGAGAGAGAGAGAGAGAGAAGAGAGAGATTTGGTGCATTTTTCATTCTACATGTTCCTTGTAGGCGGAGACCGTGTGCTCTCAAGTCGCAGCATTTGTTTGTGCCTGCAGAGATAGAGGACACATTCCCTGGCCGACTCACCACACATTCGTTCTGGCAAACGTTTTGAACACTCTGGGCTGGCCTGTGTACGAGCTACCACCCAGTTTAGCGACACCAAGCTGCTACTGAAAGTATAGGTCGCCTCTGAGCGGACGTCCTTTCGTGATTAGTCCGGCAGGTTGAGACTGAGTACCCTGGCCGAAGTTTCCTCGTTGTGGCTGGTTATTGCATACATTCTCTCGCGTGCGAGGTGGGAGGGCCCGCCGCCAAAAGGATTCTGAAGTCCGATAGGGATTCAGTTTCTGTCGCGGAAATTCTCAGATCTATTTTCGATTTTGACCCCACCAAAAAGTGACCCCACTTCTTCCGACCCGACCAAAAAGTGACCCCACTGTCTGCATATTCACTTGGTTTTAGAGTAGGCGATCTTCGGTCTCTTCTCTAAAAGTAAGTTGTTTTTCTTCGGTCGATGTTTCTCGAGATTCCATCGACAGATGCAATTTCAGTGGTGCCGGTTCGCGAACCATTTCTGCCTCTTTTATGAGCGACATATAGTTATTGAAAAAATACATACACGCACAGAAAGACTACTCATTCGAGATATAACCACATCCACACGTGGGAGCTGTGGCGTTCGCCCACCCATCCTGCCCCGTTTTTCAGTCACAACTGTCAGCGGCAGAATCTCGTCGCATGGACCCGTAACGTTTCTTGTGCCTCCGCGCGGTAGGCTAGAGGCGCAGAAGTGATGAAATGACTACGTTCATTGCCTCGAATAAGGACATGCGATGCGCCATGCAGAGAGCTGCATTTGTGCGTGCATCCAAAAATGTACACCACTAGCCTCGCGTCTTGAGCCGTGCCCCCCCCACGGGCCCCATGGGGTTGTCTTCGTCCCCTTTCGCACACAAGTTGGAGCAAGTTTCGTCTACGTAACCGAGAGAGAGACTGGACCTCTCGGACTCTGTCATCCATGGTGTACAGCTGGCACCACCACGCATCACACGCTCTTTATCGGCTCGACAAGAACATCGTGGGCTTCTGCTCCCACCCTTTATTTGATACAACGCCCGATGTATAGATGGCGACAAAACAAAACCACCAACTTTCAGTAGGCTCCGCGGACTGTCCTTCAGACCGTTCTCCGACATTTATCTGGATGTTCACTGTGTGTGGTTGTATGGTGGGAGTACTATTGACGCAATAATGGGGCCTACGCACGGGCCGTACAACTCGATGCCGCGGAAGGAATCGTAACCTCAACCAAAGCACCTGATCGGCCAAGTCGCAATTGTTCAGCTTCGTCACCTACTCTTACTATGCCGAGGGGTACAACTATCGCCGAGCTCGACATTCACCACACGCACAACCAAACTTTGCCTCGCTTAAGCTTTCTGGCTTCATCTTGTCTAACGAGAAGTTTTCGCAGCGCCTCAATTTTTGTCTTCGAATGGGCGTGCGATGGGCGTCCCATTCGTTGTCACAGGTGTCCCATGGAATGTCCTAAGAGTCCCATTGGACTCCCCACGTGTGTGTCCAATGGGAGGTCCCATGAGTCCCATTGGAAGTGTCGCATTGGATGAAACACGCATCGCATTGCGCGACCCACCAACCCACGCGAACTTCCGATCAATATTTTATTGTAAGGTCTCTAACACGTTCGGACGGCGGCAGTAGCCGTCAGCATCATACGGATATCACATATCACCGGCATCTAGTTTTGGCTTGGCTACAACGAGATTTTATTACCCTCTCACTGGTGCTGGGGGAATTTTACAGTAGTAGTGTGTGTGGTATTCTTACATATTCGGGCTCACAACAGTAGGAGTAGTTCTTCTTAAGTTTATTGAGGATGCCGTTTGTATAACTGCCAAGTACTCGAGTGCGGGTGCAATTATTTACCTCTACCCGAAGTAAGTGCGGCTACACAGCAAGCACTACGATAGACGATACTGCGCACTCCTCCTACGAAGTCTCTCAGACTGCGGTCTCGTCGTTCATCGTCCTCCCCACTCAACCAAAAACTCTCGGTCGAGCGAAATAAATTCCCGCGGTCGAACGGGAATTGCCCGCATAGACTATCCCCGCAGCGCGGTGTTTGTCCCATGATTCTGGCGCCGTGAGCATCGCTCTCCCAGCACATCTAATCTATCAATGGTGCTGCAAGATGTTCGCATGATGTGGTTTAGAGACCCGCCATCCGAGTTTCCGCTGTCGGGCTTCTCCGCCCAGCGTCGAAACTACCCTGCCTGCCTCTGATCGGAAGGGAAACTTGCGGTATGTAGCAAACTTTAATTAATGATTGCACCCTCCAGCTGCCGTCACTCTTGCTACCACTGCCACTGCTAAGATGGTGCCGCTATGGTGTCTCTTGACAGCAGACGACGATGTCGTGCACACCGCCCACCACGCAGGCTGCGTGTGGGGCGTATGCATAGTCGAGCGCGGTGCTGCGTGTCGCGCAGCCCGATTGCGCCGCACCCTTTCCCCCGCACATTGATTTAAGGAATAATAGAAACACACACAGAAAGACTACCCATTCGAGATATACCCACAGTCGAACGGGATGTGGTGGAGTCTTTTCAGTGAGTGGAGGGAAACCAGCTGGGTACTGGACTTATTTCCAGTCTTTTTTAGTCTATACACTGATGATTTATACCAGTGATGCCAGCTGGTGCATTGATGAAACACTACAAAAAAAAAGAATACATAAGTCACATTCATTGCCCCGCATTTTCGAGTACATACTGACTTATATACAAGTCTACTACACCACCTATGGTATGGAGACCACCACGGAGACCACCATGGAGACCACTGCAAGCGCCAAAATTGGCAAGCTGCCACCAATAGAAGGAATCCTGGTGCGTGGGTGCACCTCGCGGACCTCCTCCCCTTCGTCCATCATCGCGCATCAAGATCCTGCCCAGGTCCATCATTCCACAGAGGAAACCGTTGCAGCGGTACATAGCAGCTGCCTGGAAGTGAGAGCGCGACCGAGAGGAGAGGGCCAGCTGCTAGAGGAGCGCTCTTCTTGAATTGCGTGTTCGGCAATCGGAAACAAGGAGGCAAGACAAGAAGAGAAATATTTCTGGTTTCGGTATACCCGCTGTGTGCAAGGTGTGGTATGCTACACAGCAGTACGCCAATGCACCTCATCGCGTACAGTAGCGTTCGACTTCGTGGAAAGTGGTCACTCCATGTCGGAAGGCTATTGGTTTCTTGTGACATTCCTTGGTCAGGCGCGGCAACCTATGCAAATGCTATCTGTGCAGCGTTTTCACCGGTTGAATTGTCCTTATTTATCCTTCGACGCGGCACCGACTGGCTCGTCATATACATCGTTACC